TGGCATAATACAGAGTTACAAGAAAGGATCATTAAATCCAAGGAAATTGTTACAATCATTTTCTTTTTTGCTGTTAATAGATGCAACCATGCAGGTTCCTAATCTAAAAGGAGCCCTGTAGTTGGGAGTGAATGATTTAATTCATTAGGGGCTAATAGAGGGATACAGAATACCAGCAACCATGCCAATCTCGCTTAATTTCTGCAGCTTTGCTTTTAAAAGGATTAAAAAAGGATTTTCCATTGTGCAAACAAGGCTTTAAGTTATGGGTGGAGGAGAGGATGTTCTGGGTGTTTGAAATGTGATAGGCACAGATGATGTAGATAGAAATAGGATTTTTGAGTTTTATTTAAATCTCTCAGAGGATCTGGGTGTTGTTGGCTAGGCTACCATTTACATCACACCCATAATTACCCTTGAAAAGGTGGTAGTGAGCTGCCTTTTTGAACAGCAGCAGTTCTTGAGATGTAAGGACACCTACAGTGCTATTTGGGACGGCGTTCCAGTGAATGTCGAAATTGGTGAATAAAGTGCCAAAATAATGAATTGCTTCATCCTGGATGGTGCCAAACGTCGAGTGTTGCTGGAGCTGCACTAATCCAGGAAAGTGGGGCATGTTCTATCACACTCTTGACTTGTGCCTTGTAGATGGTGGACAGGTTTTGGGGACACAGGAGATGAATTAGTTGCTACAAGATTCCCAACTCTTATCTCCTCTTGTGGCCATGGTGTGGCTAGTTCAGTTCAGTTTCTGGTCAATGGTAACCCCCGAGATGTTGATGGATGCAGACTGAGATTAGAACTGGATCATGCATGTTTAAAATGAATAAACCTCAGGAGGAACTGGAGATAAGGGGATGTTTCCCAATCCCCCAAAAGCATACTGGAGACATGGAACAGATTCTCAGGACATGCAATTGCTGCTGTGCTGATTTGTTCTTTTAAGTAGGAAACTGGCTGGACCTACGATTGGGAATGGGATTGGAGACCCCAGCCTGTGTAATAGATGGATGATCAGCAAGGTGTTGTCACGCAGCATTACAAACAGAAATGAGCAGTGGATAGGCACAAATTGATAAATACTGCAGAGTTTCCTCGATTACTATTTTATAAAAATTAATTCACGGGATGCGTTTTTTGCCCATCCCTAAATGCCCAGAGGGAGTTTAAGGATCAACCACATTGCTGTGGGTCTGGAGGCACAGGTAGACCAGACTGGGTGATGATGGTAGATATCCTTCCCTCGAGGATATTAGTGAACCAGATGGGATTTTCTGACAATTGGCAATGGTTTCATGGTTATCATTAGACTCTCAATTTCAGATTTTTATTGAATTCTGATTCCACCATCTACCACGGCAGAATTTGAACCCAGATTTAATCTAGCGATAATACCTCTAGGCCAATATGTCCCTTTGAAGACTGGGAAATATTGCATTGAAGAGAGCCCATGACAGAGTAAAAGATACATTGTCTATGATACTGATATTCAATTTTCATATGTTCTCTCTGACTGATCAATGAGAGCCTTCATTTTGTAATTTGGGAAAATGGTCAGTCAAGCAACTGTGTTGTTATGTACTGATGATAGGATTTCACTATTTCACTGGTTATACTTGTGAGATTTCTCTATGGTACATTTTGGAAAGATTGAGTACAAGACAGCGTGCTAGAACTTTGCCTTAAGCAATACTGCAATGGGAATAACATCGAGTCAGCTGCCCATTGTACAGACATTGAGCTGTTTGTCAGAGGGCATATAACAGTCAACAGCTTCAATACCACCCACTTTGTACAACTCCTCAATACAAATTCCTAGCCCTGTGAGTCTTATAGTGATGGAAAGCAAATACCACAATACATTCAAAAGATGTTTTTATAATCAAACATTGTATCTTGAAGAATTTTCCTACCTAATTAAATTTTTATGTAAAAATCTGAAGGTTTTCCTATAATAATGATTAAATCTTAGAAATAAAAAGAAGAAATTGGTGATATATTTTATATCATATTTGTTTGTTTACTGATTTTAATACTTGTCCAAATCAGAATTGTTCTGAGTCGCCATGATAATACATCTTTAAATTTATAAAACCCAAACTAACTATATTGAAAGATATAAAGCAAATATGTGTTAGTCAGATTCAATGGCAAATCAGCCATGATCTCACTGAATGGTCAAGCAGGCACCCAAGCTCTGAATCAAACAATTCCTCAACTTTAAAGTTCTCACCCTTATTTTCAAATCCATTCATCATCGATCTCCTCTCTGTTTCTCTAATTCTACATTCCCATACCATCAAAGATACTGTATCTGTGCTCATCTGATTCTGGCTTCTTGATCATCGCTGATTTTAAAGTTCACCATTGGTGGCCATACCTTCAGCTGCATAGGGTCCAAGCTCTGGAATTCCCTCCCTTCACCTCTTCAACTCTCCATTTCAATTTCCACCTCTCTGACCAGGCTTTTGACCATCTGCCCCAATACTGTTTTACATGGCTCTAAATTTGCTTCGTAAAGCTCTGTGAAACATTTAAGTTAAAGGTGTCAGGTGAATATATTTGTTTTCATTGAAGGAGACATATAAATACAAGGTGTGTTCGAGTGCGATATTAATATAGGTTGTTGTTGTTAAAGGTACCATATCCCTCTATCTCCCTCAGATGTTTTGTCTAGATTTTCATTAAGTGCATCTATAAAATTTGTCTCAGACATGACCCGTGGTAATGAGTTTTATGTTCACTCTGTTCTGTAGAATTCCAATTGCATTTCTTGCTGACTACCTTCATCTTCTGCTTCAGTTGTGTTGGCATCACAGACTAATATTCATATTGTGCCAACATTTGTATGAGCCATGCTAGCTAAACTATGCATGCCCGCTCGGATGGTAGTCCTGATAACAAAAATATATCAAGTAAAATAATCTAAAGATGGATCTTCAAGATTTCAAGCGATGAGGCTGTGACTACTTCCTTTGACAACTTGTTCCATTGTGGGATTGGCCTTGGGAAGAAAAATCGTGTGGATGTTACCTCATGTTTTATCATTGCTAGAAGGCACTGGGTACTTAAGTCAATTGCAATTGGTTCGTTCCATATTTTATATAATAGTCTTTCTCTCCCTCCTTTGTGATGTAGTGATTTTCATTCCACATCTTTGATGAAGGATGTGACACTGATCCATACTGATTCATGCAGAAGTGTGCAACATATCTTTGGACCTGTCCAATCTCATTATTATTTTTTGCCATATAAAGATTCCAAACACAACTTGCATGCTCCACATTTAGGTGAGCAAATGTTTGGGAAGATATAAATTTGATATAGATGTCACAAGACCAGAGATTCCACTGCAGAAATGCAAGAACCATGTTTGCTTTGGATGCTACGTGTGAATGTGAACTTCCTGTAAAAGATTAATTAAACCACCAGATATGGTTGTGCATCTATTTGTTGATGAATTTGATGACAGAACTTAAAACTATCTGTTTGTGGGTTCTTTTCGTTCGTAGTATACTGGGCATTGCATTGATTGGCATTGAACATGATTTCCCATTGGTCCTAACAATTCTGCAAGTCCAGAAGTTCAGTCATCTAGTGAATGGATAGGATCTCCCATGATGCCTAAACTATGCAATCATCTGCAAATAGTTGTGTTCTGTTTTTTTTAACTCATTGGGAAGGTAATTTATATTTTCAAGAAGGTTGCAATGTTGTTCCCTGCGGTACAACTATTGACACCTCCTGTGGAATTCCCTGCCCAATGAAGCAGTTGAAGCTACCTTGTTGAATGTTTTTAAGGCAAAGATAGATTTTTGAACAGCAAAGGAATTAAGGGTTATGGTGAGTAGGCAGGTAAATGGAGCTGAATCCATGAAAATATCAGCCATGATCTTGTTGAATAGCTGAGCAGGCTCCAGGGGGCAGATGGCCTATTCCTGCTCCTATTTCTTATGTTCTTATGTTTTGTTCTTTCCCATACATGGAAATCTTCCCTCTGTGTCTACACAAGACCACGAAATATAGAAACAGAATTAGGCCTTTCGACCCATTGAGCTTGCTCTAGCATTTGATCATGGCTGATATGTTTCTCAATCCCATTCTCTTGCCTTCTCCTCATAACCTTTGAACTCTTAGTAATCAATAACCTACCTACCTCTGTCCTAAATACACTCAATGACTTGGCCTCCACAGCCTTCTGCTGCAATGGATTCCACAGATCAACCATCCTCTGGCTGAAGAAATTCTTCCTATCGTTCCAAATGGTCATCCCTTCACTCTTAGGCTGTGCCCTCAGGTCCTGGTGGTCTCCTACTAGTGGAAACATCTTTCACCAAGTCCACTCTATCCAGGCCTCTCAGTATTCTGTAAGTTTCAACAAGATCCCCCTCTCATCCTTCTATACTCCAAATGCTACTCATAAGATGAGCCCTTCATCCTCGTAACCATTCTTGTGAACCTCCTCTGGACGCCTCCCAGCACCAGTACATCCTTCCTTAGATATGGGGCTCAAAACTGCTCACAATATTCCAAATGCAGTCAGACCAGAGCCTTATACAGCCTCAGCAGTACATTTCTGCTCTTGTATTCTAGCCCTCTCGAAATGAATGCTGACATTACATTTCTTCCTATACACTGTCAAATCCAGGTATAAAAATGTGTTATTGCAGCAGAAGGGCCGAATGGCCTGGTTGCTAGGTCACCGGTCCCTTTAACTGTCACGTGACGCACACGCGCTCGTCGTCGGGGGAGGACGTGGGCGGGAGCACGACCAAGAGATGTGACGTAACCTTCCCCGGTTTGGTGGGGTCCGAGGTGTGTGACGCAAACGCACCGCAGTGATGGGGCGGGGAATAGGACAAAACGTCACGGCGCGGAAGGGGGCGGGGAGCGCGTGGCGGTGACGTGAAAGTGTGCCGGCTCGGGGCGGGACTGGGGTGACGCCATCGTCGCCGGAGGGTGTGGCCGGGGCGGGGCTGCGGGCTGCGGGGCGGGAGCGAGCAGCAGGCGGGTGGCCGCCATTTTAGTGATCGGCAGCCGGGCGGCGGTGGCGGCGGCAGCATGAACTCCGTCAGGTGTAAACTCTGTGCTTCGATAACCTGCCTCCTCCTCCTCAGCCTTTCCATCGTCGTGTCCGGCGGCAAAGGTGAGGAGAACGCTTGCCTCCTTCGTTCCCTCTGTCCCGTTGATCCTCGGCAGCTCTTTAAAATGCTGTTTTGTTCTTGTTTCTCCTCTGCATCATTTTGCTTGGTGTTGGGCTCCGGCCATGTTCTAGTGGATGAGGAGGAAAAACATAATTTATTTTTTTTTTAAAAATGCGGGTGCATGGTTTTCGCAGTGGAAGTGAATGATAAATTATTGCAATTTTAGGCTGAGGAGACCCTGTACTCTCTTTCCCCCCCCCCCCACCCCCCCAACTCCCCAAGCCCCTCTCCAATTCTCCTTTGGGATGTGAGGAAGGGGCATTCACCCGGAGATTTATTTTTAATTAAAATCTCTCAGTCTGTGTGCAAGAATCCGCCCTTCTTGCAGAAAATACTTGACTCGGTTTATTTATTCTCTTCCTACCCCACTCCAACGCTTGGTTGTTTGCCTGACGATTGGAGATGCGCTGGGGTGGGGAGACGGCAATTGCCTTCCTTCAGGTTGTGTTTTCATTTATGTGGTGTTTGCAAGATGTTTGGAAACCTTGGATATCTGCAGTGCATTTAGGTAGGCGACCTGATTTTCTGCTGTTCCATAGGGTTGCCCCTGTTTCCCATCGGAGGTTTGGTCAGCTAAGGTTAGCTAAAGGCCAGACTTTATTTTTATATAGATCTACATGCAGTTACTTTAAACTGCAGTGTATTCATCTGAAATATTCATGGTAATTAAAGGATTTTCTGTCTCCCGATGGATTTCCAGTCTAACGTTGAATAAACGCTCCACTTTTATTTCCTGGCCCTCTTACCTCCAGAAAGATCTTTCAATCCAGGACTAAGGACTTAAGTAAATTTTCAGTTTTTCCTCATCTTTTTGAACCGTATTATCTTAGTGTGACGTTTTTTGCGAGGTTTAAATTTGAAGCTGTACCATTGACCTTTGGAAAGTTTTATTTTGGTCATTGAGAAATTGATCAATTAAAAATGGTTGTTATGTTATGCTCATTAAGTTTTCTGAGGTTGATAAATGACAATGTCATCCAGACTTTAATAAAATCTTAATGGTTCACATTAAATATTGATTATCCTTTTAAAGCTCATAAGTCGACGCATTGCAGGTTCTCTGATCTGTACCAGTTGTTTGTTTTATAGAATGATTCAGATATCACTCTTTTAATGTTGAAGTATGATTCTGAAGAGAAAATTCAGTGTTATTTTGTGGTAATGGTACATTTAACAGATTAAAGATTTTGTTTTTACTGAGAAAGTAATACAATTGAAATGTACAATACTTATGAATTGTAGCTAATTTGGAACTAAGTGCTACATGAAGCAGAGTCTGGTATTAAAGTCAAACTTACAGCCTGTTTTTCTTTCTCAAATATTCTTAGTAAAATCAGTGTTTTCCATTGATATTTATATAGAATTTTGCTTCTCTCACATTTTTGTGTTCCAAATATTTTTATATCCTTTTGGAATGAGATCAACCACTTTGAAATTGCTGAAATTAACATTGCCAGGAAAGCTGAAGTCTTTAACAACAAGCTTTTAATTTTTTTTAGATCTTTTTGGATCTTAAATCTATTCTTCAATACTGGTTAGTTTGGTGATTTGTTTTTTAGTTTTTGCCTCATCGTTTGCTATCACGGAGCAAATTCTGAAAAAAATTGGACAAGATTGAAAAGTTCTTGATAACTTGTGCTCTTTACAAAAAAAAAATTGATTCTTGACTGTCAACAAATTTGTCAATAACTTTATCTATTTAAAGTTAAATCAGATTTTGTGAATGTTAGTATAGTCCTGTTCAGTAAGTTGTGGAAAAAATCGGACTCTGGAAAGGTGTTGAATGAATTCTATTGTGTTTTGGACAACATTGAGTGACATTGATAGTTGTATTTTACTAACGTACCTTTTATTAGATGAAGAAAAATCAGTTTAAAAGTGTACAATTTTCTCCAACTTTCACTAATGTAACGGATTACTCTATTACTTACGTATAGTTTTTTGTTTGCGCTGGTGAGTCTTTTTAAAGGCTCTTTTTAGGCTCAAGCCCTTTGGGGTGATGTTTGGATTTTGCCAATTTTTTAAGACTGCATACAAGATAATGTATGCATCATAGCGTTTTGCTGAGAGCAGCTCGCCTGTTTTGTACCACGTTACAAGATTTGTTTTGATCAGATTGAGATAATTTGTGTGTTGGGATGAAGATGAATCTAGTAATTTACTTTGCGCGCACACATCCTGTTTTGCAATTCCCATGATTAGATTTTTATCTTTTCCATCATAGCTGTAGATATTCACTTATCTCCAATGAATGCTTCCATTCTTTTGAAGTGGTTTCTTTTTCCACAGGTAACTGTTAGGGGGGAAAGAAACACTTGGAGTGAAAAAAATCTGCATGATGTTAATAAATCTAGTGCAACATTTAGATATTTTAAGATCTCAAAAAGGCTGTAATGTTGTGCAATTCTCAGGGGTTTGTCTTTTTCATTTTGATCTTTTCCTAAACGGAAGAAAGTAGTATTTACCAGAGATGCTGTGGGAAAGTTGGAATAAGCTTTCTGATACAGGACTCGGAAAAGAGAAATGTTAATGTTTTCACAGTGGATTATATATTTGCTTTCAAGGATGAGTAACAAATTTAACAATTACTTGCAATTATAAAACTTAATAAATTTTCATGAAGCCCTTCAGAGAATTCAAAGTTTTTGACCCAGAATTAGATAACCAGATAAACCGCAACTGCAGATGCTGGAAATCTGAAATGAAAGCAGAAATTGGAGAATCTCAGCCGTTCTGGCAACACCTGAGGAGAAAGCAGAGATAATACTTCAGTCCAGTGCTTTTTCTTTAGAACTCCTTAATAAGGAGATATTATTGGATTTGATTAAAAGGTTGGTGATTTCAGGTGATGAGCTGAGGCAGGGGCAGAGTTGGGCACTGTTAAATAAGTGGAGATAAACTGTCATAATGTCTCAGTTATGTAGTTGAAGGCTAATCTTTTGACTCGGGTATGACTCTCAAGTTTTCAAACTGTCTGGTTCAGCCAGCAGAATGAATAGCTCAGGAATGTAGTTTATGATGGGAAGCAAAGGCACTGACTTTGATTATCTTCATAATGAATTAGAAACTATCTCTGCTGACCTTTTACATGGACTGTCAAGCAAGCAGTTTGACAATTCAGAGACCGAGGTATTGAAAGAAATGTCAGCGAAATGGCCGTGCATCATCAGTGTATATGAGTAAAGTTACTCAGTGGTTTCTGGTGAGATCGTTGAGGAACAGCATGTAAATGAGAAATGAGGGACGAAGCCTGGATTCTGTAGTTGCACCGAAGATAAGTTTGCAGGAGCAAGTACTGCAGGTGATTCTCTAGCTGCAACAGACGGATGAGCGCAAATTCAAAAGAATTGCTGTATGTAAAGATGTTATCTATTTTTGTAACTGCTCTAAAGCCTGGTTATATTTGGCAAGTCAAATTTCTTACTGATCTGGGTTTGTACTTAAGCATCTGATTTTCAACTTTGATGATTCTGTGATTTGAGTGATTTTTTTTTTTCGTATTTGCCGTCCTTCCATGCATGCAGATCCCCAACTTTAAAGTTGTTGGAAATGTCAAAAAAATGAAGTTAATTTTATTTCTGAATTGTCTTGTTGTAAACCTTTTACGCAATGCATCAACAACATTTAACTTTGTGTCAAGTGACATTGAGAAATGGATGACCTTCTGATAATGTATACAATGTTTTCTAACCAAAGCAGCAAAATGTTAGCCCCTTGGAAGGATACAGGTTTAATTTGATCTTGGTTAGATTGATTTACTATTGTCACACTGACTGAGATATTGTGAAAAGTACTGTTTTGCGTGCTATCCACTCTACTATCTCTTACATAAGTACTTCAGAATAATAGAACAGAGTGCAGAATGTAGTGTTACAGATAAGGTGCAGAGAAAGATCAACTCTAATATGAGAAGACTGTTCATAAGTCTGATAAGTGGGAAAGCTGTTCTTAAATCTGTTGGTACATGTTTTCAGACTTTTGTATCTTCGACCTGATGGAAGAGAGTAGAACCTGGGTGAGAGGGGTCTTTATTTGAGGCAGCAGGAAGTGTGACAGAGTCGGTGGAAGAAAGGTTGGTTTGCACGATGGGCTGGGCTGGGCTGTATTTGTAGCTCTCTAATTTCTTACCATCTTGGGCAGAGCAGTTGCCATACCAAGCTGTGGTGCATCCAGATAGGTTGCTTTCTATTAAAATTGTTTGAGTCATTGTGGACATGTCAGATTTCCTTAGCCTTCTGAGGAAGTACAGACATTGGTGTGTTTCCTTGACTGTAGCATCAATTGGATGAACCAGGATAGATGAGTGATATTTACTCGCGGGAACTTGAAGCACTTGACCGCCTCCACCTTAGACCATTGATACAGATAGGTGTGTCCTCCGCTCTGCTTCTTGAAGTCAATGATTGGCTCCTTCATTTTTGTACTCAGAAATGAGTGATTTGATGTCTTCTACTTTTCATTGTCACAAACTTATGAAGAGACGTCTTTGTGCGTGTCACCATCTGACATGAAAAACAATCAAGTTAAACATTATGCGATATTGCTGGACTACTAATTCAGAGACCCAGGTAATGTTCTGGGAACCTGGGTTTCAATCCTGCCATGGCAGATGGTGGAATTTGAATTCAATAAAAATCTGAGATTGACCACAAATTCATTGTCAGAAAAACCCATTTGGTTGACTAATCCCCTTTAGGGATGCAAACTGCTATCCATACCTGGCCTGGTCTACATGACTCCAGACCCACAGATTGAGGTTGACTCTTAACTGCCCTTTGGGCAATTAGGGATGGGCAATAAATGCTGGGCTGGTCAGTGATGCCCTCATCCCATGAATGAATTTTTTAAAAATTCAAATTGTATGCACTTTATGCCAAATGTTTCCACTATAAATTCCTTTGTCTGCATTTGCAATGTTTGTAGTGCAATCTTGTAACTGCAC